ACGCCTTTACCAACTGGGTTGAAGTTGCAATTTCAAAACATAATTTGGCCAATAAATAATCTGCGGAATTATTTCACTAGTTTTGATTTACCTTATTAAATTGTTTCAGATAACAGTACTCAGTTTACTGAATCTGAATTCATAAAAAAATTTTAGATCGGCCCCTTATAGCCTAAAATCGAATGATTTAGCTGAGCGTTATATACATACGATGATTACTCTCTGAAATACTCGCAACTACCGATGAACCCCTGAAGAAATTATGTTTGGAAAGCCACTGAGGACAACGTTAGATCAGTGGAAACTATCCACGAGAGAAAGGAAGGAAAACACATTATGGAACAAAAATATTTTAATGACAAGAACGTTGAGTCCCGTGAATTTGAAGATAAGCAAAAGGCTCGGGTGGAAAATGAAAGGACTATGGGATGGCATGAAGGAACAGTGGTTCAACGGAAAAGTCCAAAATTTACGATCTTGAGTATGAGGGTATCGTAAAAAACAAGCGCGATGACCACATGAGGGATGCTCAAGTGCTAGCACCTATAACAATGTTGAACATAATGGAAATAAAATACAACTCTAAAAAAAATTTATCATTACGAATTCAATTTGTAGTGGGGAGAACTTTAATGTATTAACTTTAATATTTTGTTTTAGGATACAATTTACTCAAGGATATGGTAATTGATTGATTATCGTAAATGAACTTTCGATGAATATACAGTGTTGTGCCGATTTAATTTAAAACATTTCCATACTTTTTAATTCGTTTGTAAATAAAATTATTTAACTTGAAAAATTGATAAATATATATAAATAATAAATGTTATTTTAACAATTTTTTTGCAAGTCAAATAATTTTATTTTCAAAAAAATTAAAAAATATGGAAATGTTTTACATTAAATTTGCAAAACAATGTATAAACATATTAAGTTAAATTATCTTTGGATCTTCTCATTTTGTTAAAATAAAGTATATTTTATTCTTATAAACCCTTTTATATTTTAAACACCATACCTATCTCACCTAGTTTCCATGTTAAATCTAATGATTAAAGTTAAATGGGATTAAAGGGAGAGAGTAAAGGAGAAATTTGCTATTGATGAGAAAATTATTTAGGGTGGTATCATTGAGATCGAGGATATGAAATAAATGTAATTATTTCACATATAAACCAAAGTTTAGAGAAAATTGAACAATAAAAAGTTAGAAATATTTAGAGATTAGTGTTTTTTTTAATAAAAAAAGAAATCAGCAAATAGGTTAATCATTAATTAGGTTTATAACTAAATTTTTAGGTGGAAATTGTGATTAATGGTTCGCCTAATTCATTTTTTTTAAATAGGAAAAAATGCCAGAAGATAAAGGGAGGGAATATCAGAAAAAGTAAATATAAAAGGGTAAAGTAATATAAAATAATTAGTTTAAAAAAATTTGTGTTTTGAATCGGATTTTTTTAGAAAAAAAATATTAATATAGTGTAATTGTAAATTATAGAAGTTTTTATAATTAAATTTTCGGGTGAGAATTGGAAATTTAAATAATGAACCTAAAATAATAGTTCGTGATTAATAAAGACGTAGATCAGAGTGTGTATATGAAACGATGCAAAAAGAAGGAACATAAAAATAATTATTGATATGTAAATTATTTATTGAATTTTTTTACGCAGATTGATTTATTTTTATAGTTACGCTGATGATTCATTTTTCCCAGGGTTTCGTTCCTAAAGAAGGAGGACGTGTTGTAATCTTATAAAATTATTTTGTTGATTATTATGTTTTATTTGCAAAGTTTTCAAGGATGTATTTTATTTTCATATGAAAAAGAAGAAAATTATATCATTTTTATTTTAGCGTAAAAAATATTTTAAAAATTAATTATATTCGCGTTCAAAAATCTTTTTAAAAAATGGATTTTTTTGTTCTATTATAAAATTATCATTCACGTTTTAAGTCTTAAAAAATAAAGTAAGGAATACTTTCCACCGGTCGCAATAAATTGTGTCTCTAAATAAAAATTAAAAAATACTTTTCGCTCGCAACAAAATTATTTGGACCTATTTAAAATAAGTACATTCCTACTAAATACATTCAGAATTCGCCTTATAAAAGGTCGAAACAAAATATTTGATAACTATTACTAAACCATAGAGGCAAGATCAAGAAAATACTTTTTGTATTTAAATTTACTAAGGTATAAATTGGAAGTAGGCGCTTGTGAAGATTTTCTATCAGGTTTTTATCAGGACTAATGCGTAATTGGTTTCACTAAGCCCAACCTAATTTTTTTTATAAGTTGTCCGGCCCGGCATAAATTTGTCTAATTGTCAGTCGTTAAAATATTTTAAATAACCCAATCCCAACTTTTTGTATTTTGAGCTTCAGCAATCTCTATTATAGATTCATGAGCAAAGGTGAAATAGGCGTAGCGAAGGTTGGAGGTATTCTTTTACATTAAATTTTACATTTCATAAACATAATTATAAGGGAATAAAATATCCCTCCTTACACATCTCATAATTAATTAAAGTATATCAATAAACAATAATTTGACCGATAAATAAGTAAAAGATGATAGATTATTAAAATAATGACTATAATTCAAAATTTTACCCAATAATATTAACTAAAAAAACTAAGCCAAATGTCTAGAATAATTGAACTTAAAGACCTCCAATAAACTTGAAGGAAAACATAATGTAATGGTGCCCCCCCCCCTCCCTTTAACAGAATCTTGGTTGCGCCCAGGGTTGTTAAAGGATTGAGATCGAAGTATCGACGATCCTGGATTCGATCCTAATTTTGGCAATTTACCTAAATTTATGAATTTCTTTTAAATTAAGGATCTTGATCGAGATCATTTAGTTATTCGATCCTTCGATCTTAAATTTATTTTCTTTATTTAAAAAGTATATAAATTAAATAAAAAAAATTTAAACAAATATAATTTTTTCAAAAAATCTATCTATATCATATTTAACATCCACCGCCATATTTTTTTTATATTTTTCTCATAAATTTTATCAAGTCAAACATTTAAGCATTTAATTTAAAACTTATTATTTTTAGGTATTTATTAATGTCTATTATAGCATATAGTTATTGAATAGACAATTATAAATGTGAACTTTTTACCTTTATATCAGCTCCGTATAATAATAACGTTAATTATCATTTCATAAAATATACATTTTCTTCTCTGTGTGAGGATAGTAGCATATTAGTAGCAATAATTCACAAATTTAAGCCTAATTCACCTTGTTGATAAAAAAAAGTTAATTACTTATTTGGAAAATTAGCAGGACCAACCGCATGCAGATGCTTATTCAAATGATTTTTTAGATAAAACTGATACTTTGGAAAAAAAATTCGCAAATGTACTTTGAAATTTTTTTTATTCAAATGATGATTCAATTAATATTTTGAATACTGATATAAATTTTAAAAAAATATAACACCTGCCATCAAGCGCTTCCTGTGGAGCGCTCGTTTGGTAAAGCTAAATATGTTCTTGATGCAAGATGAGGATGTTTGAATGATAAAAATTTATAAATGCTAATTTTGATTATAAATAAATATCTTAATATTGTTATATTCTTCTATTACAATAAATTTATACTGTATTTTATTTAATTTATATATTACTTAACTTAGCATCGAGCATAAATTTTCTTCAAAAATTTATAAAACAAGAAAAGGATCGTGATAGCGATCCTTTTTTTAAAAATAACGTTCCTGGATTTCTTTCCTATTTTTTTGAAAAGATCGCGATTCGATCCTTTTAAAAGAATCAATTAAAAAATCTGACTGCGCCTATGCCAAGTGGTGGTTGGAAATATTAAAATGAATGTTGACTATTTTAAGGAAACAAGATCTTGCTTTAATTTTGAAAAGTATCATAAATTCTCTTATTAGCAAATACGCGTACTAATAGGTCATTTTTTTAAAACATTTTTGTTCTTACAATTTAATATTAAATGAATCCAGTTTTTTTACCCTATATGTTAAAGGGTTAAATTTATGATAACATTTTATGGTTATCATTATTTTCATAAGATAATATTATTCACCAGAAGCGTACACATACATTAGAGGCGAGATAATTCTATCAAAATTTTTGCCCAAAAATATTATGAGAATATTCTATTCTTGTTAGCGAGGAATTTAATAGAATATTTTTTTATGCCTAAAGAATAATATTGCAAAAAAAACTAAGTGGATGTTTATCCAAAAGAATATATGAAAAAATAAGTTCATTAAAAAGAAAGATATTTCAGTCTAAATCTTTTTGAAAATTAGTATATTTTTTTATTACTAATTATCGTCTCATTGTTTACATCTTATAATGAAAACGATTTTTAAGTTTCGCAACCAATTAAAATGCAAACGCATTGTTGGCATAAGGGAGTTGCTAACCAGGGTCGTCACTAGCTTTTTCAATCTCAGGGGGCAAAAAAATAATTTACAAAAGTCTTTTTTTATTATTATTTTTGCTAACATTTTCAAAATGGTGTATAAATTTTTTTAGGGGAACTCGAATCCCTACGCCACCATCTCCACAGTGAAGCTACTGTTGCTAGCTGCTTATTGGGGAACTTTAAAGGCTGTTTAGATGGACCATGCTATGTTTTACTGATGCCTTATTCTTATTATAATCTTAAATTCAAAAACTTTTTATAATAAAAAATATATTTTTTCCTATTTACCTGATTTATTTAAAGACTACACCTGCTATTTTATGAGCTAATTTTGTATCACCTAAATTGAGTTATAAATGGAAGGATAAGGAAGTAAATGAATAGGAAAGGAACAAAATAGATGCCATCATTTGAAATTCTTCATAATCGCCCCCCCCCCTCCCCATGATCCCTATATTTAAATAAAAATTGATATTATATGTTTTGGTAAAAATCAAATGAGATTAATTTTTATTTATAACAAAGGCACATTCATTTATTTGGCACTAGCGTTAATCACATAAGATATTATAATATTATAGAGTATAGTATATTTCGAATATAAGTTATAAAATATCGTTTATTTAATCATTTATACATTTAATCTAAGACGAAACGATTTTTAGCACCCTCTCCTTTTCCCTTACAATATTTGTAGAGTTGGTATCTCGCTGTAAAAAAAATTGATTTAAAATAATATTATATGTGTATGAAATGAAATTATGGATGTATTAATAAATAATAACATTTTTAAAAATTCATTTTAAAAAAGGAACTCTTCATTTTTAGGAGTGGAGAGGAAGGGGGGAGCGGAGCAGAGCGTCTGTTATTACATCACTGGATTTAATATAATTTGATATTATTATACTAAAAAAAATCTATATCCATTTTTCTAAGTAGAATATGATTCATTATTCAAATTTGATATAGTTAACGATTGATGTTGGTTGGAACTGTTAGGGGTTAGGAATGATGTATTCACCGGTTTGATTCTTTAAATCGATATCTTTTATCAGGAAATAAAATTTAAAAGAATTATTTAATATATATAAAACTATTAAAAATTTAAGATTTATTCAAATATAAAAAACTATCAAAAATGTTAAAAATTTATTTAAGCTTATAAAAAATCTGAGCTTGCTTAATTGAAGATTTGTAATACGGAGTTATTCTTTTGTTTAAAATGCAGGATTAGCAAGTCGGTCTATTGACTGAAGTCAAATACTCCAAAATGTTTTTTTGTTAATAAATTAATTGATACGAACTATATTTAAATAAATAGGTAAAACTTAATACAGGTTATACTTTAAAAAACATTTAATCTAATTTAACTTATTTGGTAGATGAAATATCTGTCAATTGGCTTAATATTAAGATACAAGTTTAATTGATTCAGCAATAATTTGTAAAAAATTATAAATCGTATCAAGAAACGAATAATAAATTCTTATAAAAGGCGGAGGCTAAAATATTTGAAGTACACATAGCTCTTCGTTTACCATATTCAAAATCAAAACTTTAGTATCATATTCAAAATGATAAAATTAAATGACGTTATGTTATGTGGTGGGGCGGATGGGACAGCGGCTTGAAATTAAAATATTTTAGGAGGCCGCCAAATTTTAGTTTTTTGTATTTAATTTCTCTTTTCCTTTGCCATTTAAATTTTATTGTTTTTTGTTAATTTTGATTTAGAGATATTAAATTATATCATATGGCAAATTTATTTTTAAAAAGCTTGAAATTTAATTTCTTTTTATAAAAAAGGGATATATTATATTCGGCGAAGGCGCAAATCCTTCTTGCACCCCTGGGTGAGATTTTTAAATATTAAGAATGTTAGTTATTATTGTTCATTGACAATGACTTATCTCAAACTTAAGATCTGATCTGATATTTTATCTTTCTCTATATATTCAATGTTCATTATTTATAAACTAATATCCTTTTCAAAATTTAGTTGGTCGTTTCTTTTACATCAAAATGGATAACAATCACGAAGAAGAAAAATGATTAAATTTAAAATAGATTCAAATTCTGTTAAAAAAGGATAAATCGAATAAATGCTTTATTTGAAATACCTACACCTTGTTTTAGGTCCGAAACTAATTCACTTGTTAAAGACCTTTTAACGACCCTTTTGGAGGCAAGTTTTTTCTTGTTCACATTTTTGTCCTTGGTTGAAGTCAGTAAGGAAACAAAATCCTCTGCTGAGAGTCGAGGTTCGTCGAAGGATAATAAATTAGGATCAGACGAAGAAGCTTTATTAAGAAGTATATATTTTAAAGGAATTACAGGGTTTCCTATTCAAAAAAATGAAAAGTAGCAGCGCCTTATGAAAAGGTAGGAACAAAAAAGGAAAAGTGTCAAGCAAATTCAATTCAAAAAGCAAAAGGTCAGATCAAAAAAGGAAAAATCGCAATCAAAAAAGGGAATCCCACAAGAAAAAACCAATCAAAGAAGGTAAATTCCCATGAAAAAAGGAAAATGTTTATTTATTGTTGTCACATTAATAATCTTGAAAGGCATTCTTTAATTTTTGGAATTTTTCATTTTCTTTCTTGTTTTTTATTCTAACTTTTGCAGATCTCTCTTTAATTTGTACTCATTTTTTTTTGTCATTTAATTCTTTTTTTTTCTTCTCATTATCTTGGGACCTTTATAAAGAAAATTTGTTTATAATTTTATAAATGAAATATTAACTCATTGCAAGAAAATATGATAAATATAATTTTTGTGATGGATAATGTCCGATTTCGTCATAATGGACCAATATAACGAAATGAATGCAATTAAAAAATCAATTTAGATACAAGGGCATATAATGAAGTAAAATATTTATAGCCAATATCGAAATCCAATAGATATAGTTTCAATGGGAATTATCAGAATTCAAAAATCGAAGATGAGGAATTGATTAATTTAAATAAAGCTTGGAAAAAGAAGAATAGCAGAAGAGAATTGTAAGAAGTATTTTACAAATATGGAAACATCCATAATGTAGAAAAGGGTAAATTTAATGATTAACATAATTTTTTGTTTCTTTCTTATATCACAATGGTAATGAAATAATTTGATATATAAACATTGAAAATATTTCAATTGCCGATTGCCAAAAAAAGATGAAAAAAATACATGAAGAAAAATGATGATAAAAATTAAAGATATTGTTAAGATGGGAAAAAAGAATGAATATAAAGAAAATTAAGAATTATTTTTTATTTAAATGAAGAAAACATTTAAGAAAATACAAAAAACGACAAAAATGAAAGAAAAAATTAAGAAAAATAAATAAGAATGAAAATAAAAAATTAAAGAAAAATGGCATTTCAAGATGATTAAAATGACAACAAAATTTATTTTTAAATAGAATTTTTCTTTTATGATTGCCTTCCTTTTCTCTTGGAACTTATACATTTTTTTATAAAATCTTTGCCTTTTTTAATTGACACTTACTTCTTGGTGAACACTTTTCCTTTTTTGAATTGTATTATTAAGTCATTGTAAGACACCTAAATTAGAATAAGCTTAACATATCGGGTATATTTTGAAGATTTCAGGTAGCGTATAGATATGTATCAGGATAGGCGATCAGGACAAAATATGATATTTTTTTTAATAATAAAAATCCGAGTAATTTTAATATTTTGTAAGCGTAATTTATCTTAACATTTATATTAATTATTATGGATAAAAAAATCACTTGTACTAAAATTTATATTTTTTTATAAGATCTTGAACCAGCACCCAACCCGGCTAAATAAATAAATAAAATTTGAAAATCCGATTCTGTACTGAAAAAAACTCGTAACCGATTTCATTTTTATATTCATAATAAAGCCCTACAACTACAAGTCGTCCTATAGGCTAAATATTCTAAACATTCTAATAATAAAGTTGAAAATGATGTTTGCACATTTCTTTTTATTTAAAAAAAGTGAAAATTAAAAAAAATAAGCAATTAATTTTTATCAAATTCAATTGATAAAAAAATTGAACTTTTGCGGGACTCTAATTCATAATTTATACTTTTTCTTTGAGATCATTATTTTCCCGTAAAAAAGTGCTATTATATATAGTATGTTTCAATCACCTTTGAGCGAACTGATAATGATGGTTTCTTTGTCAACATTTTCAATCGGTTCATCTGGATCTAATTTACTGTAATCATTTTTCTATATAATAAAATAAAAATGCAATTCTAAGTAACATTTATTTCTGTTTGTTTTTAAATCTTCCCTTTTTTCTCCTTCTTTCTTACCTTCCTTTTTTTCTTTCATATTATTTTCACCTCTCCTCCGTATTTCATTGACTCATTTCCTTATATTATCTATATACTCTGTAAATGTGAAGTTCTTGCACGGGTTTTAAATGGTAAAAGGATAGGATAGGGTTTAAAACGTCTTTGATCCTTTTTTCTGGTTTAGTTTTGACTCCGATGCATTTGCCGATAGGAAGAACCATTTCGAATATTATACGTTTTTCAACGTATAAGTCTTTGCCCAAGAAAATTTCGAATTGTTGGTTCAAATCTACCATCTTAATAGCATTTTTTTAAAAATCCATGATATATTAATTATAAAGAGGACATTCATTCTCTATATAATACAATTTTATATAATCTCATTGAAAATGAGGTGTGCGAGAGGGGGGAAGAGGATTACATGGCCGATATTTTAAACCTATAGTCATTTTCTGCTAACAATGATGAGATTTATTATAACATGTGACGAAATTGGATTATCTAGCCCCCCCCCCGATCCGAACTAGTCAATAATTTTATAAAATTTATTCCAATAATTAAAATAACAGAATAAAACATTATAATCCAATTCGAATTACTTATAAAAATAGCAAAGAATTATAACGGGAAAAGATAAGTTGGTCGTAGGGAAGTTACTGCAATTAACCCTCTTACATCTACTAATATTTTTACTTATACGCCGAACCCTCTAGACCTAGCCTAACTAATGAAGCTGAGACAATCTTGATGGCTTAAGATATAAAATGAATACTGATTATGTATGTTAACTACGAGGTTATCTTCTTGAGTTAAACCCCTAAAAAAATTTCCAATTGTTATATTTCCCCCAAGATCCCTTTTTAATATTTTACTTCTCTTTTAGTGGTCGATTTAGGTGTGTTATCCTCGTTATTAGACGATTTAAAATGATTTTTAGCCTCTGAAGATGTAGTTCTAATAAGGGAAGGTTTGGAATAAACATCGACAGCGGAAAAGTTAAGCCTCTTCCAACGGCATATATGAGTTAGCATTCTTTTAACGGTGACGTTTGGATGTATGTCTTTGATATCAATAACTTTATTGTTTTCTTCGCAAATGCCTATCTCAGGAAGTCCATATTTATTTAAAATTCTTCGTTTAGGAACAACTAAAATATTTAAAATGCTTTCGGGATCCGAACCAGATCCTATAACAATATGGAAAGTGGTTGAGGATATTTTGTCCATGGAGTTTAAGGGTATTTGAGATTGATCATTGGCATAAAATGAGTCGCCTACAAATTATATAATATAATTTTTATAGGATATTTATCGATTTTTTTTAAATGGATGTGGAAAATATAATTACCATTTAAAATCATTTATGTATATAAAAGTAATTTAGAAACTCAACCTAAGTCGATGATATTGTAAAGGGAACCCAATTGATTGTCCAATCCTATAAGCTTAGAATCCATATCAGAGTTAGATTGGTGGGGTATAGTGAAGGTTATCGATGAAGAGGTTTTGGTTATATTGACCGGTTGGCTTATGGAAAGGTCCTCAAAGTAACAGTTTTGATAAAAATAAATTCACGATTAATTTTTAAATTAACCTTTTCTTTTAAATGGGACTGAACCCAATTGATAGATAAATAGAATAAAATGATAAAAGTTTTATTTTAAATTCTATTTTTAAAAAAATTTTTTTAATTTATTTTGCTAAATTCCATCCTACTCTTTTTCAAAAAAAATGCATATTGTATTTACGGGTGTATCGTTAGAGGTGATATCATTGGCCACTAGACCCTGCCTCCTTTTGCGCATATCTTCGGCATATTTACTTTTTATTTTACTGTCTTCGGTCAGGTTAATACCTTTGGTCAAAGCACCGGATAATAAATTATCAAATTTAGCTAGAAAAAATAAAAAATAAATATTTATTTAATTTATGTAAAAGATTTATAATTTAAATATATGATCGCCTAGATAATAGGAGGGAGGAGGTATGGAGCTTAAAAGATTTATAAGACCAGGTCCTCGCAAACATAAATATTTTATGAATGTGTGAAATTTTAATTGCCTTCGAAGATGTAGCCCAAATGAGAAAATTTTACATCAAACATAAGATTGGAGTGAGAGTGATCATATTTAAAAACCACAAAATGTATGAAAATTAGGGTTAACTTTTAAAAAAATGATTATGAATTTATTTGTAACTATTTAGTAAAAGTTTGAGGGATTCAGCTTAATAGTCATCGATCGTTCAATTTAATTTTATCCTTTATTATTTGTTAAATTTATCTCCCTTCCTTTTTACATTTCAATAAATACAGTTAAAAATATAAATACTTTTGGAGAAAAATAGATTTGTTTTCCATTTTTTGGAGGTATCTTCTAACCCTAGCTTATCGCCCTAATATATATAAAAAATTAATTTTATATGTACAGCAAAAAAAATTTTTAAAGTGGTCATTATAAGAGATGATCATAGTAAATATTATTACTACTCCAACGTCATTAATGTTGTGGCACTCATATTTTATTTTTTGCTTTATATATTATTATTTTTTTTAAATATCTTAATAGATATGGTTCGTTTAAGATTTTAGTCCAAATAATAATATACAAGCCACAAGATTTAGCAAGTAGAGGTCCAAACTTTTTTGCCATATAAGAACAAAATTTCAGATTTACATGACATTATTTTAAGTAAAATCTTGATCTTTGAAATTTAAAGATAATTAAATTTAAATTTAAAAAAATTAAGGTAAATGAGCATTAATAACGGTATGTTATATTGTATATAGCATATAATTAATTTCGACGAACCTTTAATAGATTATTTTTATAGAAAGGTAATTAAAAGTGGGCATTTAGTTGGGTAATCTTAATGAAAAGTTTCTTGAATTTCGTGATTAAAAAGTCTTACCAAATTTAAAAAATAGTTATTAAAGTATCATACCTTGAGCTTATCCCCCTTAAGAGCTAGATCCTTGGCTGATTTTCTAGGTTCCATTAGAGAATATGTTTTCTTCTCCAATTCCGCAATCAAACAATTTTTATAGATGTTTGACTTCAAAAACCTAAATAAATTTGATATAATTTTGGGTTTGCTTTTCATACAAAAAAATCATATTTTTAAAGTAACTGTAAAGGTATAGGTGCATATCTGCCTTTATTTATCCATAATTTCATTCATATTAATCTTTTGGAAAATATACTGTTTAAATTTTATTAAAAAATAAGAAAAATTTATATCTAAAGTTTTTTTAAAAATTAATGTTAATGTGAAAATCCATTCTTAAAGTTGTAAAGTTTTTTTAAACTACAAATTTACAACTTGCCCAAGCTTATACAGTTGAATGGATAACTCCTAGAATTAACTTTCGGATATATCAATCCGATAGTTGCCTATATTATAATGAGCTGACATAAAGGTATTATCCATTTTATGGAAATATATAACGTTACACAATTTTAATTTGCAATTCAAGGAATTCAGTGGGCATATTGACTTCAAAAAATCGAGATAAATTAAACAATGGAATTTATCAATAATCTTCACCATACCAATCAATTTATATAGAGAAGAAAGAAATAGAACATTCATAATAAACAAAAGAGCAATTAGAAAAGGGGGGGGGGAATAATTACCTAGCATAAGAATCGTATCTCATTAAATTGTAAATCTGAGTCTGAGCTGCTTCGAATAGAGTTTTATAACACAGGGTTTCGTCAGGTTGGTTCAACAATTTGTCCTTTACAGCTTGCCGACAATAGTCATTTATATTAACGGGACAAAGAGCATTATCAGCTAGAAAATGTTCGAATATACTTTTGCCTTTGCTTTTGATCTAAAAAAATATTAAAACTAAAATAAAAAGTTGTTCTTTAATTTATTTCTCCCCCTCCCCTTTCCATTTATTTATCTTTCTTTATTTGCCTTTTCCGTTTTTCTTCAAAAATGTAAATTACCAAGTCGACATCGTTCAATGCTTTCAGGGCTTCACACTCTTTCCAAAACTCGATGTTTTCTTCGCTGTACTCCTTCCTGAGAAACTCCTGTCCGTAAATTTTTAAAAAATATCAATTGATAAAAAAATTACAAAAAAGCTTAAACTTTTCGAATTGAAATTTTTATTTAAATCCTGTCCTGTTAGCTAGAATACCAAATCAATAAACGAGTAAATTGAGAGCCTTATTATTATATTTTAAATAATATTTCCTGTAGCAGCATACTGGTACTGATAAAATTTTAATCTTGATCTTACCAAAATAAAAATATAGGCTAATAGTGCCTACAAATTGATACTTATTCTTTGCGTTTCAAATAATGTTCTTAAATAGTATAAATGCAAATTGCTAAATGTTCTTTGAGGCTTTAAAAAAAAGCAAATTTAATATCACATTTTAATTTAAGTGAATCACGAACAGAGATGCTCTGGACAAAAAGACCCGACAAAAGTATCCTAGTCATAAAGAAACCAATTTTAGAAATTTGATAATTTTAAAAATGTTTCACTTTTTAAGCGTTTTATTTTTTTTGAAATTTGGGATATTTTTATCAAGGGTATTCTTGCCCTGATCTTCTTATCCAGGACATTTACGTTGAACCAATGAGGCGTTTTATAGATAAACACATCGGTACAGTCAATTTGAAAACAATATATGCCCTGATGCTATGAGAATTAGTTTAATTTTTTTAATATTTAAATTTGACAATGACTCATATATATGTATATATATAAATTGTCAATCTTTTAAAAAATATGGTCAGAATCAGAATCTATCTCCATCCACTTATCAAATTCGAAACCAAAAACTAACATTCAAAAACAAAAAATAATTACTAAAATTCGAGAAAAATATATCAAAAACAAGCATTTTTTTATATATTTAATTTTCTCGGTGTCCTTATCAAAAATAGTAAAATTAAAGTTAATATTTCAAACACAGTCTTTTTTGCTTTCGATACTTATTATTTAGAACTGAGAAATATATTAAATCTTTTTACAAAATATAATATTTTATAAAAATTCTACTTTCAAAGTTTAAACTATTTTTAAAAAATGTTCTTCTGTGAAAAAGACTAATTAACATCAATTTTAGCAAAGAATTTATTTATAATGGTTTAAAAAAACCTTTTATTTTTGTCTTGATATTATATTATAAGAAATATATATCCAGGAATTTCACAATAATTTATAAAGCAAAGGAAAGAATATTAAAACCTCGAACACTTTCAACCCTTCCGAATCTCTCAGCAAATTATCGAAGGTCACAGCCCAATGGGCAACCTTTCCTTCTTCTTTCCCTCCCCGCATCCCAGAATTCCTATTAACATCTTCGTTCGATTCGGGCTCTAGAATATTTGGAACCCCTAATCTATTGTCGATGGTAGATGGAGCTTGTCTAGATTGACCCTCCGCTTCATAATAATTTAAGTCTCGGAGGCTCCCACCACTGCTCATCCTTCTCATAGAGTCTTGGAGATTAGTGAAGTTTTTAGATATGCTGCCCAGTTTGCCATTGCCTATGGTGACCCTGTAAGATTTGGTTTGGTCGAAATTTTCATCGGAAACTTTTTCGGAAAGGCATTCTTGTATATCGCTCCCAGTCTTAATGTTATCATTTTTTTTGAAGAAGTATAAACGTTTATCAATTTGAATATGAAATATGAGAGTTTTATTATTTTAGCATAATTATTATTTAAATATAATATTACCCCTGAGACATCTGGGCAGAATCAAATTTTAAAGCCCCGCTTCAATTTTTTAAAAAAACTTCCCATTTTCAAGCCCTCCAGATTTATATTTTTAGCCCCGGTTCTGGTTTATTCATTTACAGGTTATGCTAGGATTTTGATCAATTAATGGCCCAGGATTTTTAAAAATTATTTTATTGTTATTCATTTTAAAAAGAAAATTGATGATATTATCGATCTCGTTTTCATTTTAAATTAACTAAATGCAAAAATATTTGTAAAAAATCTATCTAGCTTTAGTCTTGGCCAGGGTTTTTAATTATTCAGGTCCAGATTATTAAGTTCAAAATGCAAATTTACGGTCCGTCCTGATGATGGACTGATTCCAAGCCTGCAGGCTCAAACATGTAAATGGTCCAGGGGGGACTCTTTAAAATATTAAAAATGTCAAAATTTTTGAATAGTAATAAGATTGGAATAAGTTGAATATATGGAATACTAATTAAAATTGAGTTAAAAATATATAATATTTTATCCAAAATTTTATTTATATTGATTAAATGCGAAATTTCAAAGCTAAATAAACATCTACATTTTTATTTCAACACCTACTAATAAATATATATATTGTTGTTAAAATATAAATAAAATTACATTATAATAACTAATAAGTATAAGTCTAATAATTTTTAACAATAAAAAAGAAGGAGCCCTTTATTTTAAATCGATTATAATTTTGATAAGGTTTTATTACGAATAATACTGAGTAGATATCTTGATTAATTTGATACTATTATAAATTTTGCCCATTCAAGATTCTGAGGGTATATTAATAGTTTTAGGAGAGATGCCTAAATATTTAAATGATGATTTAAAAAGGTAGATTAGGAATCATTTTTAAATTGGATTTGAGCAGAAATAGTATACAGTATCCCATACACTGTAAATTTCAGAAAAATTTATAGTGAACCTTTAAACTGCGATTTTATATACATTCACTTATTTTATAGATTTTTTCTCAAAAAAAATACATAAAAGTTCATTTTTAAAACATAAATAAATTAAAACAAATCGGAAATATTTTTTAAAATAGAAAGAAGTCCAAACAATTATGCGAATTAATTGTAAATATATATAAAAAAATACAAAAACCGCCATTAACATCAGGTCCTTTTCATAGAACCAATCGGATACGGTTCTTACGGATCCGAAGCTGATCAAGTGGCAGATTCAACATCCAGCTAATCTCAAATAATAGTTATCGTTCATTATAAATAGAATATATTTAAAAAATTTAATATAAAAAGAAATATTTTTAAAAAAAGATAAGAATTCAATTATTTAAAGGAAACTTGTAATGTATAGCAATGCAATTGTTTTGGTGAATGGCATTCTTATTTAGAGTAAAAACCTGATCTAAGAGAGGTTCCGGTTTAAAATTCTAAAATAGAGATTCTTTTTTAAATTTGACATGGTTCTTAAGGTTCCAAGTTCTGGTTCCTATACCATAAACTCTGTTTAGTATAATAAAAAAAATCATAATTTAAATCAATTTATTGTTTACATTTTAATAATTTACTAGTTCTTGGTAAAAATCATGAATTATAATATAATCCATTTTACTAATTTTTGTATTCGAAATAAAAAAGATTTTACTAAATTTAGTCACATGCACATAAAGTTTTAATTAATTTCTAAATTTTATTAGTATTAAAATGATTGTATATTTTGCTTAATTCCAGTTCATTTTTTTTGTTGATATGTTAATTATTTTTAGTAAAAATGTTTAAAATCTCTAAAAATAGTAAAACTATGCAATGTATATTTAAAAAAATTGCAAAAGTAATGTAATTATCTCTAGCCAATTCAATAAATTTTCTCAATCAGGGTCGGCTTCTTCTGTTCCTTCAGTTTCATGAGTTGTAGTAGCTTTCAAGTTTAATCGGTGGAAACGACCACATTAGCCAAGTCGAACTTATTGTAATGGGTGATCTAGTAGTTATGACTGCAGGCTTTGTGGTTGTCATTGGGGGTCGGGTAGTTGCGACGGGGGGTCTAGTTATTACTGGAGTTCGAGTAGTTACCGCAGGAGGTATAGTTGTAAGTTGAGTAGTTGCCACTGGACATCTGGTCGTAGCGGTGGCTAAGATTAAAGGTTGTACAACCCTTTGGTAATGTTCACGAGAAGTAAGGAAATATCCATAACCACACTTGACAGAGCATTCTTTGAAACAACTTATTTTGACATGAGTGGAAGCGAACGATTTTAATAAGGATATTATTAGGCAAGCCAATTTTAATCTTCATTTGTGATGATGGATATTTTCTTACTTCTCATGAACATTACCAAAAGGTTGTTCCAACCTTTAATCTTAGCCATAGCCACGATTAGACGCCCAGTAGTAACTACTCGACCTACAACTAGAACTCCTGCGGTAACTACTCGAACTCCAGTATGAACTAGAACCCCAGTTATAATTACTCGACCCCCAATAACCACAAAAAAGCCTGCAGTCATAACAACTAGACCACCCGTTACAATAAGTTGGACTTGGCCAATCTGGACGCTTGCACCGATTGAACTTGAAACTACTATAACTCATGAAACTGAAGCAACAGAAGAAGCCGACTCTGATTGAGAAAATTTATTGAATTAACTAGAGATAATTAGATTACTGTTAGAAATAAACTCTAATTAAAGATAACTTTAATAAGGTTAAAAGAGGGATCTTAGAATTGGAACTTTGTGTTTATTTATGGGGACGGGAGGTTATCGAAAAATAATAGGTTAATTTTTATTTTTTTGACAAAATTTATGATTAAAACCACGGCACAAATATAAATGAATATAATATAATAGAAATAAAATTAAATAATAGGAACGCGTTCCGGAACGTTATAACATGGAACGGACACATTTTTTGGCCATAAGGGAAAAGGAACAAGAACCCCAAAAATGCCATTGTTTTGGGTCCCTGATTAGAAGTTAACATTATGAGTAACCATGTTATTTCCATTAAGAAATTCTCCCATCTACCCAGAAATAAAATGTTAACTACCAAACACTTAGTTTTTGGTAAAAATTAATAGAATGATTGCAATTTTAACTCTACTAAAAAAGGCGATGACTGGATAAAGTGTACCAAATATCCCAAATGGGAACATTCAAGTTGTGCTTAGAATGACCCATATTATGTGTCTCCCTATAATAAGTTTTCATAGGGTGTAATTTTTTTAAAAATTATTTTCAACCAAGGAAGCCAAATAATTTTTATATATTCGTCAAAAATTTCAAATAGAAATCTTTGGATATAATTATGGTTCTTTTTGGGAACACAATTATGAAATTATATTTTATTTTTATAGTGTTTAATATTATATTTAAAAAATATTCTAAATCTAAAATCTGATTTAAATCCCCAAAATCATTATCATAAATCGATTTTTTTTAAAATTTTTACAAAATGAAATCATGATTTTTGCCACCCTAATATAAATGTATGGCTAAAATTAAAAAAATATATTTCTTGAAATTATAATTGAGAATCAGAATATGAATAGTTTTTAAAGACAAGGAAAGAATAAATCATTATTATAAGGAAAAAATAGATTTAAAATGACAAATAATCCATTTTTACTTTAAAAAAAAAATTTATGCAGATTACCAAGTCAATATAAATTTTAATACATTATAATAATAATATAATAAACTTAACTTATATAATACTGTTAATAATGAATAATAATAATAAGGAAAAGGTTTATTAACATCTTGCTTGCTATACTAATATCCTATCTATTATTATTTTCTAATTTATTTGTTTCTCAACAAAATCAATATATAAAAATAAAAAGTGATTATTTTCCTTCAAATTTTCAAGCAATCCATAAAAAATTTCACAAACTTTTTGAATTCTAATTCTAGCTATATATATAAAGAATAATTTATCTTCATATTTTTTTTAATGATTATTTTTATGGCCTCATAGGAAAGTAGGGGGAAAGGGAGTTAAGACAAATTTATAATTTTTATCATCTTCCACCTTATTTTTTAGAGATTTTTTTTTCTATCTATATTCATTTCTTTTTATCTTTATGTATCATCTCCTCTTACCAGCCTCTATATCTCCACAGGGTATATACAAAAAAAAAATTTTTTTTAAGTAAGTAGATATATAATGCTAGATAGTAGTTTGATGTAATTAAGTAATGTTTTAGGAACTTCACTTTTAAATTTTGATGAATTCGTTTTTCACAATTTGTCTGACATTCATTACAAAAAAATATGATAAAATTTTTATCATATTATAATACTTCACTTCAATTAAATTTGAAATTAAAATTTTTTTTAATATTTAAAAATGAAAAATATAAATATTTCGATAAATTAAGCTTAATATTAGCTAATACATAAAGCCTATAATAGGCTTTGTATTTTACAGATCCATAGCTTCATACCTAATATCTTCAAGATTTGAATGACAATGATTATAATGTTCAATCTCTCAGAACCAGTGGCATAGACAAAAGGAGTTAAAGCCCTACCTCCAACCAGATGAAAAATAGGATTAAGTAAAATTTTGTGTTTACATAAAACTACGAAAATTTGCTTTTATTTATTTTAAATTGATAACCCTTCTTAATTTCCTATTTTATAAAAAATCATATCAGAAAATTTTTATTTTACTCTTCCTCGGATATTGTTGTTTTGTTTTAAACTTTTCGGAATGATTAATAATGAATGATTCTTCAAATAATAAAGTATATAATTGTATACAGTATTTTCGACATATGAATTGTAATTTGATACCCTCATACCCATAACGCTGTTATATAATAGATGGTAATTTCTTAATTATCGAATTTGTAAGATAATACTTTTTTTAAAGAAAATTTAAATAAATATATATTATAGAATTTGTTATAGTTCAAGTTTATTAATATTATACAGAGCCCTGTCCTAATAAATTTTTTTAAATAACCAGGTCGGCCCGAAAATTTTTAACCCGATCAGACCCAACAAATTTAGGGAAAAGATATATGGCCTTTAATTTTTAAAAAAATTATCATAAATTTCAATATTCTAAGTTTTTTTTAAGCGGCAAAATTCATAGTGTGTTAAAAATTTTGTACAAGTTGGCGAAATGGGCTTATGCGTTTTACTTTAAAACCACCGGCAGCCGAAACGCGATGGCATGTGGTAATTTCTTGCCTTGAGAAATATTTTCGATATTCCTATTATTCAGTTTAATTGAACCTAAAAATTTACAATTTATTTGAAACAACAGTTTTAAAATATTAATATTAACAAATTCAGCAATTTATTTAAATTATAATTAAAGAAATGTACTAATACTTTTACAATTTACAACATTAAAGAAATGCATTAGTATACCTTTACATTTACTCATTAAAGGTGCCACTATCTTAATAAAATTGGCATCGGTGATACCCATATTCGCGTTTTAACGTCTCGATTTCGCTAAATTTATATTAAAATTATCGCAAAAATAATTTTATGCAAGACTCGAGATTCGTTAATAGATGTCCAAACCTTTCTGCCATCTATGAGCAAAATCTCCTGGTTGATTAATATTTTTTGGCTAAAATATTGGGTTAGCCAATTTTAAAATCGTGCCGTTTAACAACAATCATGGTAAAAAAGTTATATTAGTATATATGTGGGAAATTATTTTAAAATATTCTAAATATATTAACATAGTAAACCTGTCTTTCACACAAGGTGTATAATCAAATTATTATTTATATATGAGAAACGGTAGGATTATGGTTTGTGCGCCATACCATTATTGGCTATCTTTTATTTATTTAGTTTCAAATGATTGGTTGAACTTTATTTATTTTTATTTTTTTTAATGTTTATTATCGAAAACAATTGGTTATATTCTTAAATGATTTTTTTAAATTTTAATAGCGAGAAGAATAAATGTTTAAATTTATTTAAAAATAATATTTATTTGTGGACCAGGTTAATAGAAGCATAAAGATCCAGTCCGTCTTTGGAGCGATCTCAAACAAAATATGTTCAGTTTGGGTGGTGCCAGTTTATAAAAGATTAAATAGCAACATATATTTATTTAATAAAGAGAAAAAATATCTATTGAATATCTTTAAAAATATTTCAGAATATAATTCAAGCATTTCCTATTATAAATATATGGCACAAAGGTTTGGACATCTATTAGCGAAATATCGAATCTTAGGAAATATTTTTCTGGCTAAAGTTGCCTTTATTAAAATTCGGCACAAATCTATCCATTTAACACCACTATTCCTCGGGTATGTTTTTATTCTTTAAATGCATTCAGCTATTAATGCATCATATGGAATATTGTACATTCTCGCAATAAAAATCTGCTAAATATTTATTTTTTTATATATAAAGATGTAATGGAGAGATAAAAATCTTTATTTTAGTAATCTTCAACTGACCCTATCGATGTCATTATTTAGAAAGACTTTACTTTAGTTTTGCAGTGAAAAGGTTGCATATGATTTGGTGGAAAATTTTAAAATGGTAGATAAATATAAAGCTATAGAAAATCTGATGTGTATTAATTTATAGAATAGATTAGTAGCGCATTTATTTCTACATGTTAATTGTAACATATATGCGATAAGAGGTAGGAATCAGTAAAATTTTTGAAAAATATTTTAGCAGATATGTGCTTCATCCCACCCATTCAAAATTATAACTTATACTAGTCAATTAGAAGAAAAATATAAACTTGGTGTAAACGAGAAAAAACACGATATCGATCCCATGATTAGATAAATGCAGTGCCGAGCATATTTGGAGATCTGGGGGATTTGAATTTAGACATGAATCACTGGATACACCTCATGTTTCCGCTGAACGACGCCGTTTTACATGCGAATCAAATCAATTTCCAGATTTTTATAAGTATTCAAACAAATTAACAAAATTGGCAAACTAAGAGACTAATCCTCCCAAAACAATAATCAGAAGTTATATGTGGTTTCGAATAAAATAAACAAAATTTTATTTTAAAAAATGAAAATTTATTTTATTTTTTAAAAAAAAAAATTAATTGTGATATCTGATACACTTAACCTTGAAATTTATTTTATTAGCATCTTTAATTAAGTTTAAATAAAACCATAATTTCGAATAAATAAATAAATTGAAAAAAATAATATATAGCGCAGGAATAATAAAAGGTCCTGCTGAACCGACCCATAAAGATATATAATTATACTAAAATGAATGATTCATTTATTAAAATGTGCATCAATACTAATCATCTATTAGCATGCTAATTTTGGTTATCCACACCAATGACATATAATAATACCTAGACTGACAATTCATCCATTAAAAGTGTACATCAATACAAATCAGCTAGAGACGCCATCTTGGTTACTGTAATAAATATTAAAATTTTAAACGAGAGCCTAATTTTATATTATATCTGATGCAAACTTTATTAAAGAATTGCCTGATCATCGAGATAATAAGAAAGTAAGTTATCAATTTAATATTAGTTTTTAACATGAAAATAATTATTATAAAGGTTACCAAAATGGCGGGTCCAGCTGATTTGCTTTTAACGAAGCTTAAAAATGCATTTTAATGAATGAATCGTCAGTCTAGGTATTATTATATGTCATTGATCCACACAAACTATATATTATAAGGAAAACTAAAATGTTGCTTCACCAGCTGATTTGCATTCGTAGACGCTAAATGAATGAATCAGTCTAGGTATATAATTATATGTCATTGGTTGACCCCACAAGTAGCAGTAAAGTCTCGTAGGACAAATCAAAATTTTATTCTTTCAAATTATCTAAATTTGGTATTATTAATGTTTCAACTTAAATATAAACTATACTGTTTTTAAATAATTAATACTAATACATCTTATTTTAATTGATAATGAGTTATTATTATAGTGATAATAGAAGAGAAGTTCTATATAAAGGTAATGTAGAGGAGTATTTAGATTTTACAAAATTTCGAGTTAATTTTAGGACGGCCTTGATTTTTTTAAAAAATAAAATTTTCGACCCGGCCAGAGGATTTTTAAAAAAAGTTTATTAGGCCCAGCTAGGTAATTAAAAAAAAGTTTTTAGTGCAGATCTCTTATTATGTTATGTTTTGTAATAAAAAGCAAAAAGGTAATATTTTTAATGAGATATTCATTAATACCTATAGGTAATTTTACCCATACCTGTCGAATGCCTCCCTTAATTACGAGATTTATATAATTTTCTCATAATTAGTATTGAGCGAAAACAGGCAGGACTGAGGATATGATATAGTAAATTAAATATATTACTCCGAACATTTATATTAATTTATATAGAGGATTGTGCCCTGAAATTTTTTTTGCCAGACCCCGGTATAATATTTTTCGATAATTTTTATAAATTAAACATAAAAAAAATTATTAACTGCTTTGTCCTGATTTCCCGATAATATAATACCCTAATTATCGTCTTATTTTAATAAAATAAGAGACAAAATAAATTTTATCATATATTTTTAAAAAAAATTTTCTGTATTTTTTTAGTTTAAACCTGTGCCGGCCCAATATTTCTATGACTTTAATTATTTTTTCGCAAAAAGACTCTGGGAACACAGTCAAAAAGTATTTTAATCCAACAAATTTTTTTAACAGCCTAGTTTTAAACTGGATAATCTAAAAATTATAAGTCGTTTCCCTCATTAAATAATAAAAATTGGCACTATTTATGTAAAACTAATCCCAGAAGTTTTGTAAACTCATCTATAACCCCAAACTTTTTATCCGATCCAAAGCCAATTTGTCTAAAAATTTTCAAAGGGAGGGAGGCGTAGAATTAAGAAAAAGATAATTAAGTCCCTAAAAATTATATTTAAAAATTTCTATTTGCAGTGAATATGGCTATTGGGGTAAATTAAGTAACTTTTATAAAAGTGTCGTTTTTGAAAAAAAGGAACGCCGCTCGTTACCAAAAGTAACAAGCAATGAGTACAGCGTTTCTTTTTTTTGAGTAATGGTATCGCAAACCGTTACTACCGTTACTTTAAAAAAAATCTAAATAAAAAAATATTTTATTATATTTTTAAAATTTTATAAATAATTCTAGCCGAATTATTATCAACCAACCAAAGTTTAAGTTAACATATAGCAATTGGCTAGATAACATAAATTTATTAAAGTAGGAAAATTATAAAATTTAAGGGAATCTTTTAAAGTTAATCATATTTTTATTCGAATGTAGTATTTTTAAGGGAATTAAATTCCTATCCTATTATGTTGAATTCCTGGGTAGCTTCATATTCTCGAGCCCCTCACAAAGGCTGGTTGTGTTCAAATCTTGCCGTAATCTTTCTCTATCAACATATGCTGCAATTAGAAATCTGCAAAAGTAGGCCCGGCCAGTGCCTGGTCCCGAAAAGCCGGGTCGGGTCGGGCCTTAGAAATTTTTTAAAATATATCAATTTTATGTTGAATTTTTTATGTAAAATAAAAATATGTGATTTTATTTATAGAAAGTAGACGCCAAATAACATATATCGTTTATTTTGAGTAATTATAAAAACTAATTTCTATATTTAAATAAATTCGGGCCGGGCCGAAATTTTTTAAAAAGAATTTCAGATTCGGGCCAGCAAAACTTAAAAAAAAAAATTTCGGGCCAGGTCGGGCTTGAACAAATCACTAGCTGCAATAGTGTAAAAAAAATTATTTTTTTATATTTTTCGTCCATTATTATACTTTTTATTTCATAAATTCCAGTTTTTATATATAATTGTGGTGGATAAAAAGGTAGAAAACAATTTTATTTTTAAGATTTATTAATGGGATTTTTGCCAGAAATGAGTATATTATTAGATATTAGATTTAAAATATTTACTTCTGGTGTAATGGTACATTCTTTCTTAGCAGCTTTCATGAACTTGTTGGCAAGGTCTATAGCCATAGGAATTTTGTAATTATTATTCCTCCCTCCCCTTTGAATATCGTCGGAATAATTTAGGTCCATATTATGTCGTAAAATGGTGAATTTTACTATTTTACACTCCGGCCTTCTTAGAAAAAATAATTTAAGTGTTTATTTTAATTTAAAAAAAAATAAATTACTTTATGAATAATGATAATGGGTTTTTATCTAAAGATTTTTTGTAAATTTATTAATAATATCATCTCAAATAAGTTAAGTATTCCATTAGTATTCTTCCTAATTCATACACTGTTCTATTCCATCTTGAAATGATAATTGGAAATTTTTTTTAATTTGTTTTAATATCTTTCTTTTTAAATGAGAAAGAATAAATATTTTGTAAAACTATAAAAAAAAGCGCAAAAATATTAATAAATTATAAATTAAAAAATAATAATTTTAAAAAAATAAATTTTTTATAACAAAACAAAAAAAAATAAAACAAAACAAAAAATATATTAACTTGCCTAATTTGAGCACCTATTGTTATCGGAAAAAAATTTCCTATCAGATTAGACACCGATTTTTTTGTTTGTTACAAAAATAATTAAAAATCTGGTTTATAAAATTTTTTATTTTTTTCTATATTTCAGAATCAATAATCAATCAATAAGATTAATTTATATTTTTGATAATGAAATTATAACTATTTATCGAATCATTTTAAAAAAAATTTATAATCTCTTATTTTAAAATACATTTCTCATGCAGGATTTTTTGGCTTAGGTCGTACAAAACAATTTAATGAATATTATATAAATCAGCTGATTTTTCGAAATTTTAGTATGGAGCATTATCTTTTTATTCCATTATCAGCCAGGGCATAGACGAAACTAGCTATTAACATTTCTACGATAAATCTTCAATATAAAGGGAACTTTGAGTAAATTGAAAGAAAGCGGGATGGAAATCTTTAAAAATCAAAACATAAATTCTCTTATTCCTGGACTTCCCTTTCTAATTTTATATAACCTTTTAAAAACAGCTTCATAATTAAAATTTCAAGTACCCTACCTATATTTATAGTAAGATGATGGTCTATATTTTTATAGTCGAGAACTATCATCTCAACCCTGTGTTTTTTTACAAACTAACTCGTACCTTAATTTATAGAGAATTTCGGCAGGCTCCTGTAGATTGGGCCAAATTAGATAATTTTTAGCCATTATTTCTAATATTACAATGACAAATTTTCCTTGCCTACAGTATTTAATTTTCTCTCAATGCCAGCCAAAAGTCTTAGCCATGGCTCTGCTTTGTTGCAAATTTAATTCGTCTCCTCTTTAAATGTTTTTAATGACTTAGCTCAATCCGAGATGGGTCAATATCCGATATCTGTATCGACCCTAAATTCATTATCGGCCGAACTTTCCATTTTTACTCGTTACTCTTCAGACGTGATGATTTTTGGTGTAATTTTTACAAGATGTATTGCTGATTTGGTATATATTGAGTTCTTGATAATAATTAAAGTTCGTATAATAACAAATGGTGCCGTGAAAAATATCCTAGGGATATTATTTAAAGATATATCAATATTAGCAAAAAAGCGTCTAAATTCCGGGTTGAATTTATGCCAAAATTTAAATTCTAATGAAATGATATTTCAGATAGAACCATAAATATTGATTGACGTTGCTATAATAAAAATTATTAGCATCTTTTGTTGAACAACTGCGACGATTAACATGGGCAGCATCCTATAATGTTTATTAGTGTCTATATGCTAACTGTCACAAAATTCATTGGAGGCAACTCCCCTCCAAAACCTATACATACCTCAATAACTCTTGTCTCCGTCGGCAATATTCCTATTTTCAATTCTAATGGACTAAATTTCAAGCTCGTAACTGGATTATATGATTCAAATAGTAATTATTAATATCAACATTTATATAGATTTATTATGATTGTCATATTATATCGATTATTGATATGAAAAGACTTTCTTTATCTGAATTAAATACAATCCATAGTCTATACTACCAATTAAAAATATAAAAAATCCTTCTAAAAATCAACACCTCCCAAAAATGCCAAACTATTTTGGATGAGTTTTCCTCCTACACCCTCCCCTCCCAATTCCGGTCATGTGGACACTGGTTTGCTAAATTCAATTTAATTCGTATATTAATTATTTTTAAATTATAAAATATAATAGTCTTATTAAATGCTCTCTTTCGCTGACAGCTAATAAATTTGATTTATATATTATTTTTAAAGGATGCTATCTAATTTTTTTAAAGAAACCATTTAAGTTAAAAAGGACAATTATATGTCACTTAATTTTTTTTATAAAGTTATACTTATAATATAAATTATTAACCGCTTTTACATGTTTCTTGACATTGTCACTATTTCATATATTTCGCAGTTTTTATAAAGATTTTTTATCATTTCATGAAAATTTTGAGATTCAGGATATGGGGATAAGGTGGCAATATAGGCCATGGTTTTTCTTTTTTTTAAAAAAAAAGGGGGAGGGGATTAAGAATTGAATCAAGATTTAATATTAATGTGCAGCCCAACTTAATCTAAAACTTGAATAAAAGTTTTATTTAAAATAGTTTTTGAGCTAGATTAGTTTATTTGATATTTTTTCTCGGGTCAGTCTATATTAGTCAACATATGACATATTTTGACTGGTCTATATAAGCTGTTAATAGTATCTTATCTTATTAACATCTTAACTATGTTAATGATAACCATGCTTATTTCAATAAAAAACTAATCAAACTTATCTATTTAATGATAATATTTTATGACCAGATAATATTTACCTATGTGCTGTTATTAAATGACTGACTACTATTTTTAAAGGGCTGCCAAAATTTGGTTCATGTGCATTGATTTTTTCATTTGTTAAAATTCAAATTTCCCCTTTTTTGCAAATTTGGATTTCCTTTTCTGATGAATTTTATTTTCAGGGTGGTCAAATTTATTTCAGCTTAGAGCCGCTAAAAATCTTAGCAAGTCACTGCTTTTGTATACTAAATAAATCTTATAAGTACTACTTTTTTTGTGTGAATAATGTTAAAAGGCTTAAGGATAATATTTATTATCAAATATGAGTAATTTAATGGCATTTTTTTCACTAAATAATAGGTAACCTGTCATAAATATACATATAATAAAAAGTTACAGGGACCAGAGGTATGCTGTGACCGTTTAATAATTTTCCCCTAATTTATAATACATATAATATTTACTTCCACATAATATTCTTATTTTTAAGACACCAAAAAATTAAAATCAAGGATAACTAAACAATCAATAAAATATTGATATCAATTAATATATGGTATGATAATCATTATAAAGAAATTATTTTCTAAAGTGTGAAAAATATTTAATATATCTATATAGTAAAGTGGTGAGTTTATAATTAATTACCGTTATTTGCGTGTGAGGCATGACCTTGATTATATATACACTATACGCACAATATAGTACTTACATTAAAAAGAATTATATTTTATATAAGTTTGGTAGTTATATATTTATATATCCAATAAAATATAATTTATAAAAAACAACAATTTATTAAAATCAATAAGTTTGAATATATTTATTAAATATTCCTGCCTATAATGAGTAAATATACTAGGCTCCAAAATTTATTCTCATATAATTTCAACTATATAATTCGCGGTCAGAAGTTGAATAGTATCCTTATAAACACTTCGAGGATTATAAAAGCTTTAAATCCGATTAACTTTAAATAAAAAAAATATTTCCTTGTATGAATCTGAAAATGAATATTGGTATGGATGGCATAACCAATATTTTTTTTAAAAGATTATTATATAAAATATATAGTACATAGTACATAGTCAGTGGTGGGCAGCAAATTTTTTTAAAAAAGTATTTAGATAGATATAAAAAATACTGTTTCAAAAAAATTAATTACAAGATACAGATACTTGATAAAAAATTTAAAATAAAGTATGTAGATAAAGATTCTTTTAAAAAATTAACATAATATTAAATCTTATATTATCGGATATTGTGTTTAAAAATTAAGCCATAATACTAAACGAAAGGCATACTTTATTATTCATTTCATTTAATTGAAAAAATTTTGTTTATAAATATTATAAAATTAATTTAAATTCAAACTCTAAAAAAAATAAGAATTACAATTTTAATTTTTTTTAAAAAAATATTAAATGATAATAATCGGTTTACATGGAATCATAAACAAAAATGTCCTGGACAAAAAGACGGGGGAAAAATTCCCACGTACAAAAAGACATCTGACAAAATTTTTTTTAAACATTTAAACAATTGGGGTATTTGTGTCTTTATCCAGGTCATTGATAATTGAACTTTTTTTCCCATCAAAGTTAAGTAGGGCTTATTTTTAAAAAATAATTTAAATTATATTAATTAATCCGTTGAAAAATAATATAATTGAGTGTTTTAATGTTCATTTACTGCTCATTTTAAATTTCCGGACCAGGCAGTAAAATGATCAAAAACATAAGTCAGGGCCGAGTAAACAGAAATTATCAAAAATATTCTGGCCGGACTTGAAAATAATTTGGATCTGTAGATCTATGACAAATATTAAATTGTGTGGTATGGTAACATAAATGTGCTTTTTTCATTTATGGAGTTGTTCATTAGTAAATATTGAACAATAGCTTAATCCAAACTCAATACAATACAATACAATATATACTCATATATAATATAGATAACTTTTCATCAAACTATCCCATAATTATATTAGTCAGTTTAGTCACTCAAGAATGTAGTAGATTATTAAATTTACCACTTGGTTTAACATTCGTATAGAAAAAAACTTAATATTTTTAAAAAAGGTTACTGAATAAATACACATTATATAAAAAATTAAACTTTCTCTCGACTTGATTTCACGATTTTCATAAGGAAAATTAGATGAAAATATTTATATGATTTTTAATATTAATTTTGACAAGGAAAAATTATAGATGAAAATATTTATATATGTGAATTTGTTATTAAGTTGAAATGTGACCGAATTCGCGATCTCGGTATCAATAAAAGATCGCAAGAAAACTAAAAAATTAACGTATATTATTTATTTATTTATTACAATATAAACTTTTTTAGGTTAGTTACAAATTGGGATAAATAATTTATTTAATTTTATTTTCTTTGTTTATCAATCAAAATCAAATGAAGTTAAATATAGGATATTAAGAGTAAGTTAGATTAGATTATTAAGGTTAATTATATTTTTAAATAAAATTTCCCTCCTATTATAATTTTAAAAAAAAATTTTAGACGGAATTTTGTCGGAATTGTGTTTCGGGTTGGGTATATGATTT